CCCGTCCCGTTCTCTCCCTCCCACTAACCCACTCCTCCTTTCCACATTCATCTCCCCCCCCCCCACCCTTTCCGACACGCCGTCCGACTTACAAACTGCTGCAGAAGTCTGTTGCACGTGTCCAGCGTCACTTCCTTGACCTTGGGCACCTCGAGCGCCCACGGGAAGATGTCTTCCAGCGCCTCGGCGATGAGGAGCTCGGCCGCATGCCTCGCCCTGACGGCATCCACTACGTTGCTCACGTGTTCCGCCAAAGCCCGGGCGCCCTTCTGGACGCTGCGGAACCTCGCCTCTTCCGCGATGAACTTCGAACTCGTCGTCTGCGGGTTCAAGAACGACGTTTGAAGAGGCCTGGTAATTTGTGCCATTGCAAGTGTCGAGATAGTGTGATTTTTTTATTTTTATTGTCCCAGATAATAAGCTTTTAAAATGATATTCCTGAGCAAGTTTCTTAAGTTGAATTTGCAGTATGATAGGTAGTTGAAGCTGGTTTGAGGAAAGGCTAGCAAACCTGATTCATAATTCCTAGTTTCTGAGACACGTAAGTCGACATTCTGTTGCTTTTCTTGACGATGGAGTGGAAGTTAACTCGCTTCATTTTGCCTTGAAGCGAATGGTCCGTGTCGGTCCGGTATTTGTGCACTGGAATGGACGAGCAGTTGGATCAACATTTCATGAGAACGAAGCATTTGTCTTCAATTCTGTTAAACACAAGCTCAATCCTTCTCCGCTTGGTATTCCTCTTTCTCCTCTAATTTTTCCTTTTGTCAATATTTTTCTGTAGCGCCCTCGAAAATCAACCTGCATCTCAAAACTGTGATAAATAATTGATAAATGAAATTAAATAGATTGAAAATATTGCGATATACATTTTTAAAAATCAAGACGACCCCGAAAAAAAACATGCCATCGGCCCCAGGAAAACCACACATGCTCCACCCACACTGGCCCTACCCAGATCAATAGCGCGGGTGTACTCGTTGATTTCTCTCGCTGCCTCGTTGATGCGACCATGGGCGGCTTCGAGATTCTTCTGGTCGCGATGGTGGGCGGGGGTCCCTCTTAGGAGCTCGTTCAGGTAAAGCGGGTACCTGGGGGAAAGGCGCTGCGTTGCAGGTTTGTTGAAGGAAAGAGTAAATATCTTTAAGACTGATAGGAAAGAGGGGACGCTTTTGGAGGAATGAAGGACATTGACGAACTGTGCTTAAGCAGTTTGATTAACAGGGGATCGGAAAAGTAACTGAGTTGAAATTACTCAGTGTTAATGAATGTATTTATAAAGATATACATGCACACACACACACACACACACACAACACACAGATACTGCATGAACATGTAACAATACTTATGCCAAGCAATGCATGTAAATCAGTGCACGTTTTTAAGCGTCTGTGACGTGACTCACTTGAGGACGCGCTGCACAGGCTTGATGAGAACACTGTTGACATCGATGAGATGCGCTTTGTGTCTCCGCAGTTCCTCCGTCACCGTCTTGAGTGCCAACTGGGCGTCTTCCTCGCCCTCGTACTGCGGGCGGAGGGCGGTCATTACGAGGGATTCTGTGTGTGTGTGTGCGTCCGTGGGTGTGCGTACGTGCGTGCGTGCGTGCGTGCGTCCGTGCGTGTGTGCATTGTATTGTGTTCGTATCTACTCGTATGTACAACAATCTGTCTACCTACATAACTCCCATACGTTTCTCTTTCTGTTAATACATAGCCATAATCTATCTGTTTATATATAAGCACACACATGCATCACTGCCCATCACTTCAATCATTCCAGAAACCCTAGAGAAAAGTGAAGAAATAACAAGGACCGCCCCCCCCCCCCCCCGTGCTCAAAAGACAACAAGGCACAGCTGACCTTCTTGAGCAAAGGGATGACCTCCACGTTGTAGTTGGAGCAATACACTTTGTAGACCTCGCACAGGTCGTCCGCGTGCTGCAGGAACACGCGCCCGACCTGCATGTCCTCCTCCGGGTTGCAGAGGGCGGCCTCTAGGTCAGCCAGGAACCTCTTGGCTGCACTCATCACCTGCAAAGGAGAGCGGGTAACAATAGGCCTAGTGACAGTGATAAAGATAGTATGATAAAACAGTAGTGACAGTAATAGTAATCATAAAAGTAACAACGTTTATGATAATGACAGTACTCTTAATAAGCGTGGCGAGCGTCCGCCCTACCTGAACGACATTGCCGAGGAGCGGCCGCAGATGGAGGCCGGCGCCTTCGCCCCAGCTGGAGGAGGAGATGGTCTCGTTGATGACCCGCAGGAGCACCTCCAGGTCGCCGATGTAGTCCTGCTCCGTCCGGACCAGCTCCTCGACGCGCTCGCGGTTCCGCCCCGGCCTGGGGCTCGCCTGGGGGGTGGGGGTGGGGGGGGGGTTGTATAATTAATGCTCTGATGTTTTCTTCTTCAGCGCTTGTTATTTCATATTCATTTATTATTTCTTTCCCTCGCGTGAACGAAACACGAGTGTTTCGAGCTGGTTTCTTTT